GAAGGGGAAAGAATTACAAGTTTGTGGTTTCAGGGCAAGCATGCTACTCAACTTCCATGGCTGTCTGTGGCTGCAGAGAGAAGCTGGGTGGGGAAAACTTCAAAGTTACTGGCTAAAGGTGCTAGAGGTCAGAATTCAAGCAGGAAAGCAGCTGGAAATTTAAGAAGGAAATTCTAGCAGCACAAAAACCACAGCTTGTAACAACTGCCTTAGATAATACAATCTACTTTCATCAAGAGTTCTTTAAAAACTGATGTTCTCTCCCAAGAGCTTGTTTCCATACCAAACAAATAAAAACACTTAAAAAAATAATTTAAACAGGAATGAAATACATCTTTAAACTGGCTTTAAGGTGTCTTGGTACATTTTAGAATCACAATTAAAAATTTTTATCTTGGGGCGCCTGGGTGGCTCAGTCGGTTAAGCGGCCGACTTCGGCTCAGGTCATGATCTCACGGTCCGTGAGTTCGAGCCCCACGTCGGGCTCTGTGCTGACAGCTCAGAGCCTGGAGCCTGTTTCGGATTCTGTGTCTCCCTCTCTCTGACCCTCCCCCGTTCATGCTCTGTCTCTCTCTGTCTCAAAAATAAATAAATGTTTAAAAAAAAAAAAATTTTTTTTTATCTTCCCCATTAAACCAGCTCCCTCTCCTCATTTTCAGTTTTATCTTTGTGATGTGATTTATAATAAAAGGTACATATATTTGGTCTTCCTCCTTGTTCCTGACACAGGACTCCTAAAACCCTTGGAATTTTCTAGGTGGGGTGGTATCTTTTGTTATGTTAATGACATGGTTTTTGGGGAGCACCTAAGAATGGGGGCTAATTGCTAGAGGAACCAACTTGGAATAGATGGTTGAAACTTTCAGTCCCACAGCCTGACTTCTGGAGAGGGGAACAGGGCTGGAGGTGAATCAGTAGCCAGTGGACAGTGATTTGCTTTAATTGACTGTGCCTGTGTAATGAGGCCTCTGTAAAAAGGATAGGGTTCAGGGAGCTTTTCCGTTGGTGAGCATATGGAGACTGGAGGAGAGTGGGGTGCCTAGAAGAGGGCATGGAAGCCTCATGCCCTCTCCCCACTCCTTGTCCTGTGTACCTCATGTCTGGCTACTCCTGAGTTCATATCCTTTTTTTTTTTTTTTAATTTTTTTTTCAACGTTTTTATTTATTTATGGGACAGACAGAGACAGAGCATGAACGGGGGAGGGGCAGAGAGAGAGGGAGACACAGAATCGGAAACAGGCTCCAGGCTCCGAGCCATCAGCCCAGAGCCTGACGCGGGGCTCGAACTCACGGACCGTGAGATCGTGACCTGGCTGAAGTCGGACGCTTAACCGACTGCGCCACCCAGGCGCCCCATTCATATCCTTTTATAATAAATCCATAATAGTGAGTAAAGGGGTTTCCTGAGTTCTGTGAGTGACTCTAGCAAATTAATCGAACACACGGAGGAGGTCTTGGTAGCCTCTGATTTAAAGTACAGGTAACAGCCTGGACTTTGTGACTGCTGTCTGAAGTCCAAAGAGGGAGTTGTGGGAACGTCTGATCTGTGGCAAGTCGTTGGTTAAGAAGCATGTGTGACAACCTCTGACACGATCTCCACGTAGTGTCAGAATGGAGTTGAACTGTTGCTCATTCTGCTGGTGTCTGAGAATTGCTTGATGGGAGGGTAGAGGTGGGGGGACCACCACCAGTGGAATGAGGTCCAGCACCCCTTAAATAGTATATCCATTCTACATGGGCATTTTTCATCATCAGTGCCCTAGAAGCAGTCAGTCTTTGATTTCATTCTTCCTGCAGAAGGTCTCCAGGATCTGTCCTTTGTGCTCCCACTGTCTCTGCCCTGGTGCCCTCCCTCTTCATCAAGATGAATTATTGAACCTCTTCCTCACTCCAGTGCATTCAAATACTGCTTCCTGGCTAATTCTCCTCAAACCTTTTTATCACATAACCTGTTCAGAAACCTATAGTTGCTTCTTGTCTACAGATAAATCCAAACTCCTTCCCACCCAGGGTTCCCACACTTTAAGTCTTACCTGCTTACCCTCATCAAAGTCAGACCTTTCTCCTTGTTTCCTAAACAGTCTTGCTCATTTTCCCCTCTTTTATGTACAGCTCTGAAATCCTTCTACCATTCACATTTAAAAAAAATTTTTTTTAATCTTTATTTTACAGATAGAGAACGCACGAGTGGGGGAGGAACAGAGAGGGAGATCTAGAATCTGAAGCAGGCTCCAGGCTCCAAGCTGTCAGCACAGAGCCCAACGTGGGGCTCGAACTCCTGAACAGTGAGATCATGACCTGAGCCAAAGTCAGGTGCTTAACTGAGCCTCCCAAGTGCCCCGTCCACCATTCACATTTTAAGGCCCAGTTCAGATACTAAGCCGTTGAAGACATTTAACTGCATTTTTTTTTCCTCTACAACTTCTCTAGACCTACCGTGCCATTGGTCCTTTTGTCCCTTAGTCATATAAGGTGAAGCTATAAACGACTATGTATGAGAATTTATGAATCCAGTGTTGCTTTTACAGGCCTAATACATGTCCTAATTGTTCTATTTTTGAACCTATCTTTTTTAGCCTTACCTTCAGGGCATGCATCATAATCTTCTGAATATTCTTAAGAATAGCAAACCTTGGGGCGCCAAGGTGGTTCAGTCAGTTAAACGTCCAACTTTGGCTCAGGTCATGGTCTCATGGTTCGAGTTTGAGCCCCGCTTCCAGCTCGCTGCTGTCAGTATAGAGCCCACTTCAGATCCTGTCTCCTTCTCTCTCTGCCCTCCTGCGCTCATGCATGCGGTCTCTCAAAAATTAACATCAAAAAAATCAGAATAGCAAACCTTATTCTTTATTTTTATGGGCTTATTTTTTTTAACGGCCAAAATTTAGTTGGAGCAAAGACTGAGGACTATCATGAGTAATCTGATTTCAGCTTTGCTTCATCTTTATACTTAAATTACAAAATAGCTCATATTTTTAAAGTACACACCTATCTTGGTCTTCACCCAAATAGAATTCTTGGCTCAAATTTCTGTGACCATACTAAGTAAGTTACTATGATCTCTTATGTTGTTTTAAAATATACTCATGCCTAGTGATCAATAAAATATCCTGCAAAATCTTGTCTTAAGTACAGTAGTGGCTTGGCATCTATGAATTTATCATTTGCAACTTTGTCTTAAGTGACCCTAGAGGTCAAAATAATTTAGCTGAGGCACAAATGCTTCCTGCTCTGGAATGCAAACTCACATAGGGACCAGTCTAGCACCTAACTGTCATCTCTTAGCATAGTTTTCTCTTTGTTGTAGGGAAAATGATATGGTAGACTGAGGTATTTGGAATTAAGGAATTCAAAAAAGTCTCAGGATGTATCACAGGATACAAAAAATCTATTGTATTCAATAAAACTGCTGTTTTTAAAAGAGGAGAAAAGGTAGCCCAGTCTGCTACAGGCTCATAAGATCTGTTCATTTCTTTCTATGTAGGAAATAGGAAGCATTGGTGTAGGGTTACAAATGCTTTTGATTGTAAGTTTATCTTTGACTTATGTAGGTTTACAGTGATTATTCAAGTTTAATAACATACATGGGAACACCTGACTAGCCCAGTCAGTAGAGCATGCAACTCTTGATCTTGGGGTTGTGAGTCCCTTGTTGGGTAAAGACATTACTTAAAAATAAAGTCTTTAAAAAAAATAATAATAATAATAATATACATGACACACGTAATACGAAGACTAGCATTATTGAGGCTTTTAAGTAATTGATTTGGATATCCTTTGAGAACATTGAGTAACAGGGAAATATTTTTGTATAAATTGGTGTTCTGCTTTTATTCTAGATTGAGAATTGAGAAACAAGCCCGCATTGAAGCAAGGAAGAAAAGTTTAGAGAAAAAGAAAGAAAAATTTCTTCAGGAAAAGTTTCCACGTCATTCTGAAGCCCAGAAGTCAAGTGTTGTCTAAGATGTCTGAATTCTGAAGTTACTATTTTGTTTTCCTTGGATAACAATCTATATACAAAAGTAAATATGTATTAAGTAATTTATAAAGAAATTGTGTTTTTAGTTAAATGACTATCTCAACTGGTTTAAGGGTTAATATGGCATGCTAACTCTGGAAGTTAAAAATTCTGACATCTAAGCAAACTTTAACATCACCTGTACCTTAGAGTGGGAAAGTGATGTCAACTGCAATAGCAAAGGCAGTAAGGTCATTTTTGGAATTCAGGTAACATTTCTACTATTATATTAATAGCATATGAAGGGGGTGTGGACATTACTTTAAAAAAAATTTTTTTTTTTCAACGTTTTTTATTTATTTTTGGGACAGAGAGAAACAGAGCATGAACGGGGGAGGGGCAGAGAGAGAGGGAGACACAGAATCGGAAACAGGCTCCAGGCTCCGAGCCATCAGCCCAGAGCCTGACGCGGGGCTCGAACTCACGGACCACGAGACCGTGACCCGGCTGAAGTCGGACGCTTAACCGACTGCGCCACCCAGGCGCCCCATACTTTTAATAAACAATGAGTACTTTCACTCAAAATAATATAAATACATTTAGTAAAACTTAAAGTAGTTAAGTCACAACACAACAATAATTCAAAACATTTCTAATGGCTAATAACTTTTATTTAATTTTGCAAGCCTAAGGTAAAAAGCATAGGCAGTAAATTTTACTAGTCAATAAAAACCAATTCTACCAATCACTGGTAATTAATATACTAAACAGAGTTGAAAAGCATTTTACTGAAAGCAAAATATTTAGAGAAAATAGACATTTATACAAAATTATAAAATGCTTGTAATAAGAATAAGTGCATTTCAAGGAAAGCACAAACTTATCTTAATTTATAGAGCCAGTTAAAGCCTTAAAAAATTTAAGTGGAAATTGAAATATGCAAAAATGTATAAACATTCTACAAAAGATGGTCACTCTTTTCCTGAGTACACTAAAGCTGTGGAACTTAAGGTGACACGGGAAGGCAGAGGTCTGGGAACTCTCCTCAAGGGCATTTCCTTTCTACACACTGCTTCCCTCCTTCTTCATATTCTTGTTTGGAAATCCACATCTGTTGAAAGGTGCCCTGTAAAATGGAAAGAAAAATTATATATTGTGCCTTTTTGTTAGAACATACTTTTTAAATTATCTTTTTCATAACTGATTTTGGGGCGCCTGGGTGGCTCGGTTAAGTATCCAGCTTCGCCTCAGGTCATGATCTCACTGTTCGTGAGTTCAAGCCCCACGTCAGGCTCTCTGTTGATAGCTCAGAAACTGGAGCCTGCTCTGGATTTTGTAACTCCTTCTCTTTCTGCCCCTCCCCTGCTCACACTCTGTCTCTCAAAAAATAAACTGATCTTGCAGAACGCTTAAGCCCCTCCCCCAAATAGTACTCCCTTATTTCTGCCCTCCTCTAGAACACCAAGAAACATGATTTAGAAAGAATAAGTCTTTCTATACCTATTAAACTGTCATGAGGATTTAGAAAATGGCTGTGAAAGGAAGATGGATGGTTTAGCTATGATGGCTTGGTGCCAACCTGAGGCAACAATAGAAACTATCGGAAGGTTTCCTCCCAGTACAGAATTGATGTTCTAACACTTAACTAATGGCAGCATTTAGAACTCAGAAGTGCTTGGGGTGCCTGGGTGGTTCAGTCAATTAAGTGTCTGACTCTTGATTTCAACTCAGGTCATGAGCTCATGGTTCATGGGTTCGAGCCCTGTGTTAGGCTCTGCGCTGGCAGCAAGGAGCCTGCTTGGGATTCTGTCTCTGCCCCCTCCCTGGCTCATACTCTCTCAAAAATAAACATAAAACTTAAAAAAAAAAAAAAAAAAAAAACCCTCAAAAGTGCTCATCAGGAGTAGGATAAAGTTTTACAGGAACACACACAATAAATATAGTGCATAAGCACTATAGAAGATGGAAAGGAGGAAAATAACCAAAGAAGGAAGAAACCTAGGCTACATTAAAAATAAAACATATAAGCAGGAAAAATCCATTCTCTAAGATTAACTCTATTCAAGTGGACTTGCAGTGGTATCCAGCTTTGATCTAAGATCTATTAAAAGACTGGAAATAGAATACATACACTTATGTCTATAATACATTTATGTATAATAATACACTCATGTATTATTATAAACTTTTACTAGCTTAAAAAGGTTTAGGAGTGGGGCTCCTGGGTGGCTCAGTTGGCTAAATGTCCGACTTTGGCTTGGGTCATGATCTCAGGGTCTGTGGGTTCAAGCCCCATGTTGGGCTCTGTGCTGACACCTCAGAGCCTGGAGCCTGCTTTGGATTCTGTATCTCCCTCTCTGCCCCTCTACTGCTCGTGCTCTCTCTCAAAAATAAATGTTAAAAAAGAATTTTTTAATTGTTTAATAGAAATACTTCATGAAGGCACCTGGGTGGCTCAGTAGTTAACCATCTGACTTTGGCTCAGGTCATGATCTCACAGTTCATGAGATCGAACCCCGCATCAGGTAAACACCAACCAGCCCTGCTTCCGGTAAAAAACAAAAACAGGCCCTGCTTCAGGCAAGCCCCATTTCTCTCTGCTTCAGGCAAGCCCCATTTCTCTCTCTTCCCCTCCTGGGATTCTCTCTCTCTCTCTCTGCCCCTTCGCTCACTTGTGCCCTCTCTCTCTTGCTCTCAAAAAAGAAAAAAGAAAAAGAAGTACTTCCTGACATTTACTTTGGCTGCTCTGAGGTGAAGGGGAAATTCCCCAAGTCTAGGGTGCAGATAAATACAAGGACTTTTCCTCCTGATTCAAGGCAGGCACCCATCTGAGCAATGTGAAAAACCCAGCACCATGACTTCAACCATTTGCCCGAAGAACCAATTCCTGACTTCCTCAACCTCACCAGGAGGCCAGGGAACAACCAGAACCTGAGAAGGAATGATTTAAGTCCTGACCAGTTCCAATGGGAGTACGAAAGGGCACAAATATGTTAGTAGAATCCCCACCTTTGAGAAGGCAAACTGAAATTAGGCTGACAAATAGCAACTGATAAGGCACTAAAGCATTTTGTTAAATTAGAACATGTAATTCATTTGATAGTTATACAAAGATAAATGATGCACTGAAACTATTTTTAGTCTTTTTACTAAGTTTATATTCACTGGTACACTTAAATCATTCAATAAGACTATTTTTCAAAGTAGTTTACTAACCAAAGATGCTAGAATGGAGCCACCAATCCATGAACTAAACCTCCGTTCTACTGTTGTATTATTTGCAATCAATTTCAACCGCATACTCTAAAATAAAGAGGGAAGAATAAGTATTAGTACAATCAAAACAGGTGACTCAATTCAAAAAATTCAACTTTGAGGACTTCTTAACAATTGGTTCAAACACCAGTTACACGTGATTATTTTGCAAAAGCTAGGCTAATAGTAGGCATAGGTTGAATTACTATATAGAAAGTACTTTGATTATGGTTTTTAATGTATAATATTTAATAATTACATCAACCTTAGAAAACTGCGTACTAAAGAGTATGGCATTCACAACAATATCCTAGAATAACAGCAAACACATACTTAACACTTACCTATAAATCAGGTATCATGCTAAGTGCTTCATGTGGTATTCCATTTCTTCCAATACCAAATACCATTACTGTCCCAACCTGCCACCCTTTCTATAGTCCTCACCTTTCTAACTACTTTTTTAGTATCTTATCCTAATTCCTCCTATCTTAGGTCACTCCCCCCACTCCACTTCCACATCAAAATGCAGACATTAGATCTCAGGTTTTTTATTCATAACTGCTTTCCTCCCAAATGAGTGCTTATGTTTTGAACTCACTCTCTTGATAAACATGGTTTTGTGGCTCAGTACTATTGCTTCCTGTCTCCCTGCATCAAGAGATTTTCCCCCTACCTAGGACTTTGTTTCCAGGGATAGTTCTTAAATTGTTGATACTCTATTATTTTATATGAACACATAGTTTGTGTTCATACAACAGTGAAATAAATGTATATGTTTCAGGAGTAAAATAAGTGATATGGGAGGAGAGGGTGCTGGGAGCAGGAGGGATGAATATGGATTTTTGTAGATGAGGAACTGCTGGGTATCTGTTGCAATGGAATTTTTTCCTGTTATTTCATCTATTTTTAATTGTCTCCTAAATGAGATGGATAATATCTAACTGCTCTTGACCAAGACCTTGGACAGCCCAGGTCTGTATTTGTTATTCTGGGACTTATTATCAAATCTAATGATTAGTATTATAATTAAGTTCTATTCCAGATCAGACTATATCTCCAAGAATGTAGTAAATACAATTCAAGTGTCAATCTTGTGCCTATATCAGTATTTACATAACAACTTAATAATTACAAAAATGTGCCATATGTAAAATGTTCCTTTGTATGAGAAACAAAAAGACTGCCAAATATACAAATTCTACAGATACTATCAGGACCCATGTAACCCCTAAGTTTCCTTTGATGTAATAACTAATACAAAGTACCATACAAAAAACTACTTGATAAAAGTTTTAAAATCTAAAGATTATGACTAGGGGAGCGTGTGTGGCTCAGTGGGTTGAGCATCTGATTCTTGATTTCGGCCCAGGTCATCTCAGGATTTGTGAGATCGAGCCCCGTGTCAGGCTATGTGCTGACAGTGTGGAACCTACTTGGGATTCTCTCTCTCTCCCTTTCTCTCTGGCCCTGCCTGCTTGTGCATTCTCTCTCTCTCAAAATAAACAAACATTTTTTTTTTTTAAATAAAGATTATGACTACTACTCTGTTATCAATGGGTACCAGACTTTCTCCCCAAACCACATTCTTCTAATCCTTTTAAAAGTTGTCACAATGCACCCAGTGATCTTTTTAAAACATAGGAGCTCTGCAGTCCCCTGCCAAATTTTATTCTGTAAGTTCCCTATTAATAAGCAACATGACCTGATACCCAACTGTGTGGGTGGAACAGTGTCCTCCAAAGAGATATGTTGAAGTTCTAATCCTTGGTGCCTGTGAATGTGACATAATTTAGAAATAGGTTCTTTGCAGATGTAATTAGGATACAAGTTAAGATAAGGTCATATTGGTGGGGTACCTGGATGGCTCAGTTGGTTGAGTGTCTTGACTCTTGATTTTGGCTCAGGTCATGATCTCATGATTCATAGGATCAAGCCCTGCATTGGGCTCTCCTCTGGCAGCAAGGAGCCTGCTTGGGATTCTCTCCCCGCCCCCCTCTCTGCCCCTCTCCCACTTGCACTCTTTCTCTTGAAATAAATAAACATTAATTAAAAAAAAAAAAAAGAGGGGCGCCTGGGTGGCGCAGTCGGTTAAGCGTCCGACTTCAGCCAGGTCACGATCTCGCGGTCCGTGAGTTCGAGCCCCGCGTCGGGCTCTGAGCTGTCAGCACAGAGCCCAACACGGGGCTCAAACACACGAACCATGAGATCATGACCTGAGCCACAGTCAAGATGCCTAACCAACCGAGCCACTCAGGCACCTCCCTGGAGTTCTTATAATAAAAAGAACAGATCTGTGAGAGAATGCCCTCTGACAATGGAGACAGACTGAAGTGTTGGAGCTGCAATCCAAGAAACAACAAAGGATTGCTGGCAAACCATCAGATGCTAAGAAGAGAGAAAAGAATTCTCAGCTCTACATTTCAGAGCGAGCATGGCCCTGTGGACATGTGGATTTCAGACTTCTAGCTTCCAGAATGGAGAAAGGATAAATTATCTGTTGTTTGAAGCTACCTACTTTAGTTTGTGGTATTTCGTTACAGCAGCCCTAGGAAATCAATACATCATCCATCTTTCCAGCCATATCACTCTTCCCACTTCTGCAGACTACAAGCCAGCTACTTTGAAGTACTGGAATATGCCATCCTCCCTTCATATTCTGCACATGGTATAACTTCCACCTAGATGTTCTTTCATAAATTACCAACCAGTTGAACTCCTATTCCTTCAAACAGCTTCTTCATGAGGGAGTTAAGTGCTTGCTCCACAGTGTTCCCTAGGGTGTCTCATTCATGACATACTGAACCACTTAGCACATTATTTTTACATTTCTATTCATCCTAGCAGACTGAGCCTTTAGTGGGCAGGGACTGTATATACAGCCCTAGTGCCTAGCACACTATAGGTACTTAAGGATGGAATCAACAAATAAAAGATTCAAATAGTACAAGAGTAACTAAAAGATGTCATCTATGAAAATTTGGTTAACAAGGGATATTAACTTTATCTAAGTAACACTGTATCAAGCACACACAGAATATCAATCGACTACTGAAAAACAAACCTTATCTATAAGACTACACCAGCGATGAGGATACCTGTGACTGAAGAATACCACTAAAGAGCAAACAACTTACCGGGGGAGTTTTCTGAGAGAGCTCTCTATTCAACCTGTCAGTAAAGCTCTGTATTAGCGTGTTTCCTCCAGCCACTATAACACTGCCATAGAGACCCTAAGATAAAAAACAGAAACAAATTAGTTCCAAATGTTTCCAAGTTTTAATCACAACTACAACTAAAACTGTCTTCCTCTACAGTTTACCCTTTCTTTTTTAATATTTTTACTTCTATACAGACCTAGTAGCTTAATCCAGTGGCTCTCAGTCTTGGCTGCACATTCAACTCATTTATGGGATTTATAAAACGTCAAATGCCTGGGGGCAATTAAATAAAAATCTGGGGATGGAGCCCAGATCAAGGTTTTGTTAGTTTGTTTAAAACTCAAGATGATTCTAATGTGCATTAAAGTTTAAGAACCACTAACTTAAAGCAATTATTCTAAAACCCAAGCATAATTTTTTGGCAGATAGCTGCCAATATTTAGAGGTATGTTTTATATTGGCTTCATATTAGAAAGCTCATGTAGAAGTTGGCAGTATTTAAAATTAGACAATGAGATTATTTAATGATTATGATGGATAATGCATAATCTGATAACATCCCTAGCCAAAATGACTGTGACCTTTCTTTTTTGCAGGGTATTAGGCATCAGAACCACATGGGGAACTTTTTCAAAATCCACATGCTGATACCTCCCTAAAAAAAAATAAATCAATCTACTTATGAGTATATTTATCTGTAATTTACATGTATGGATCAGAAAGCTAAATGTCAGCCTTTTTTTTTTTTAAGTTCTTACTGAATTCCTGTTAGTCAATATACATGTCAGCCTGTATGCTTTTTTAGTGGCTAAGTTCATATTTTAAAAATGTATTCCAGATGTCTAAGTCATCTAACTTTTGAAAGAAAAATGGAAAACAAGCATCTCCTCTGCAATTAACATTAGTTAACGAGAGGAGAAATCGCACTAAAAACAAAGTTATCTATTACACACTTATACTTACTCCATACTTACTCCCTATCATCTTAGAAGCAGCAAGTGCCTGCTAGGTGGCTAGTTGAAACAAACATTTTGCATAGTCATCCAAAAGTCTTTTTTGAAACAACATGGTTTTTATACACCCCTAGCTATCAGTACTATGCTCTAAGCAAATGAATCAACTCCAACAATACCAAGGCAACATATGTTGGCTACAAACTGAATCTAGGGTTTAAATAACATATAATCAATCTAATAATTAATATGTGTATAATATGGAGTTAGTATTTAAAAGCTGGCAAAACACAAAAATTACGAAGGGTAAGAAGATCATCTAAACTCCATGTAAAAGTTACATAATTTAAACCCATACCTTCCTAAACAATAAAAACAGCAAAACTGCTACATAGAAAAAAAAATCAATAATATATATTTTGGCTTGTCACATTTTAGGAACTCTCTAGAACAGCACTGTCCAAAAGAACTTCCTGTGATGACAGAAATGTTCCCTATCTGCATGTCATACAGTAGCCATTGGTTGCATTTATAATGTGGCTAGTGCAAATGAAGAACGGAATTTTAAATTTTTACTTCTTTTAATTTGAATTGCCACATGTGGCTGGTAGCTAGTACACTGGACACCGTAGCTCTAAAGTTTTACATTTTTCCTTTTCTAATACTTCATATTTTTACACATTCTAAAATGGACTTCAAAGTGAATGGCCAAAGTTGCCAACTTAAATAAGGATTCAGGGGCATTTCATTACCCTAAAAGATACCTTTATACCGTAAACAGGAGGCTGACACTTACTGGTCTGATGTCAATATCACACATTCCAACGCTTGTAGTGACAACGTGACTGACTCCCAGCATTGTATTTCCTGATAATCCCTACAACAAAATGAAAATGAGTAGTCACACAGAAGAACTTCAAACACAGCACACCCAAAAATCTCTAGAGTCGGTCTTATGTAGGTTTTATATAATTACACAAGATGTGCACACACACAGGAAAAGCCAAGCTGATTATGAAATAGTGCTCACACCTTTACGTTGGAAGGGTCAAACAACCCTTCAGGAATCTTTAACCGCTCTGCTCCAAAGTCACAGTTGTACCCGTTGGGGAATTCATAATGAACAGTTGGCATCTGTGCAGCTACTCTGAAAACATATTAAACAACATTAAACAAAAGACCAAAAAAATTCTTCAAAATTATAAACTAAGAAATTATCAACTTGTAAGAAAGCAGAGTGAGAATCTTTCTTTTATGTTAATCAATATTTCTTAACTTTTTACGTTTAGACCAGTTAAGCATACTCCACAATTTTTAACAAAACGAATCAATTTCTTTCCTCATTTATAAGTATTTGGTGTTTAGAAGATTAGTATGAAAGTTTCAACGAGCTATTTTAAGTCTTGTAGACAAGAAGACATACTGTTCATCATAGGTTGAATCTGATACTTGAAGTACTGAAGCTTGAAAATCCTGGATAACACACTATGGATAAAAAAAAAAAAAAAATTTTAAGAAACAGGTTAGAAACAGGCAATCTATACTTTTGTAACATTGTAGAGCTGTTTTTTTTTTTTTTTTAATGTTTTTATTTGTTTTTGAGACAGAGACAGACAGAGCATGAGCAGGGAAGGGGCAGAGAGAGAGGGAGACACAGAATCCGAAGCAGGCTCCAGGCCGAGCTGTCAGCATAGAGCCCGACGTGGGGCTCGAACTCACAGACCACAAGATCATGACCTGAGCCGAAGTCAGTTGCTCAACCAACTGAGCCACCCAGGCACCCCTATAATTTTGTAACATTGTATTTAAAATACTTTTCTTAGGGGCGCCTGGGTGGCGCAGTCGGTTAAGCGTCCGACTTCAGCCAGGTCACGATCTCGCGGTCCGTGAGTTCGAGCCCCGCGTCAGGCTCTGGGCTGATGGCTCAGAGCCTGGAGCCTGTTTCCGATTCTGTGTCTCCCTCTCTCTCTGCCCCTCCCCCGTTCAAGCTCTGTCTCTCTCTGTCCCAAAAAAAATAAACGTTAAAAAAAAATTATAAAATACTTTTCTTAATGAAACCGGATCACATTCCTGGATGGCTATGTCATTTCAAGGCTATAAATCTACCTAGCAAGGACTCTTGAGTATCAAGAAACCCAATTTTAAGCATTTGAACTAGAAGCTAAATTATATCATGTTTAAATTACAACAATTATGGAACACTGATGAGATAAAAACAATCTGAAACCCCCATACCTACCACAGTCCTGCATTACAAAACTGGTTTCAGAACATTGTTTTTTCCTTAAAAATAAGCCTAGACTTAAAGGCAAGATTTCATTTTCTGAATGTATATACATGTGCACATACATGGCATCATATGTAACTTTTAATGACTGCACATAGTTTAAAACAATTAAAAATTCTGCTGTGAAATACATGTGACCTCTGGGCTGCTAAAGAAAAATCCTGTCTAATAGCTAGGCCAAACTGTTAGTCAACTTCACAATTTTTCCTTCTACTGAACACCCACAAAAAATCTTTATCTTAGGTGCAAAAAAATGTGAGATAGGGTATATCCCTCACATAGTAAATTATGACTTTCAAATCCTTTTACTATTAGAAATGAATGTACATCTGTAGTGTGAGAGGTTTTACTCACCTGTCCTCCCATCAGTAAGGTATATGTTCAGAGAGGAATTTTTTAGTAAAAGAAACTCTTACTGTCTCCTTGCTATGAATAAGGACACTTTTTTTATATGGCTGACTGATGTTAAAGCAAACATAACTGAGCCATACTACCAGATCTCTATAGACTAAAACCATTTTCTTAGACAAAAAAAGGTACAGAATAACATAATGCTTGTTTTTACTCCAAAACCAAAGTTCCTTCCAGGTCTCATCAGAGTAATCCAAATGAATATATACTAGTTTGTTGAGATAATTAGTTTGACAAACACAAAAACAACTCTTTCTTCTCAAAATAATAATTTTGTTTGCAAAATATCATTAAAAGTATGAAGTGCTCACATTCTATTCAAAAACTTACAGCCTAGGTGGTGCCTGGGTGGCTCAGTCAGTTAAGCATCTGACTCTTGATTTCAGCTCAGGTCATGATCTCACAGTTCATGCCCTCAAGCCCCTCATTGGGCTCTGCGCTTGACAGTGCAGAGCCTGCTTGGGATTCTCTCTCCCTCTTTCTCTGCCCCTCCCTTCCTCACACGCTCGCTTGCTCTCTCTCTCTCTCAAAATAGATTAAAAACACACACACACACACACACACACACACACACACACACACACACAACTTAGAGCCTGTAATACTCCTGTAAAGAAAATAAGGGTACTTACATTACACATGTAGTTGTGCCAAGACCTTGTAACCTGTGGCAACTTCTCTTTTCTTTTCCAGTTTGCTGGAGATCCTTCACGAACAGCTTCCTGAGTACCAAGAGCATGTACTAGGTTAAGAGAGTTCATGACATGGGGCTGGGGAGCTGGAGATAAATTCCAAAATAAAAATTCAAGCATCACCTACTTTTGATGCAATCATATATGGAGGAATCAGTTCTATATTCATTTCTTGGAAGAGTTCTCTGCATTGCATAGTAATAAAGTCTCCAGCAAGAGGGGATTTCACGATGCCTATGAAAACAGATTAAACGAGGCTAAGACAGCATTAAAACTAAACTCCCTGGGACAAATTTCTTCTGTGTATTTATATATGAATAATCTTTTCAAGTAGAATCAACTGAACTATCTCTCTAAGCATGAATGAAGCCTTGCATCAGTTTTAAACATGCGTTATATACTAAAGGTTTTTTAAAACTCCTAAAAAAAGAGATACTATTTGGAAACTGATATGACTTGATAGTCCAATTCACTGCTCTATTTCATTGTCTACGTTGTCATGACAGCTAACATCATCTCCTGTTTAACTCGTGTACCCTAGTTAAAAACATTACCTTGCTGAAGGACATAGCCATCATGGACTGGAATTGCAGTGGTATGAGTGGCTCCACTGTCCAAAATAAGACCCGTGGAACGACCATTAGCAAATCTAGTATAAAGCATTAAGGAAAAGAAAGTATCAAGGTTCCAAAATAATGTTTATTATAAAGGGAAAATTTCATTAAGGCATTTTTAAATGTGTATTATGGCTTAAAATGTGTTAATCTAGGGATAAATATTGGTGTGAAGAAACTCTGGCTTAAAGACAAATAACACAGGCAGGACTTCCGAAATGATGGTGAGAGGAAGTTAAAGAGAACTTTTATCCCAGAGAGACATCTGTTAAACTGGCCAAAATTAGCACAATCATTCAAACTCTCTGGAGCCAGAGTAAAGGACTTAAAACAAATTAAGAAGCAATGAACAAAATCAACAGAAAGTGGGTAAAAACAGTGGGGGGCTATGGCATTTGCGCTAGGAACTAAAACCATTCTCCACATAGGATTAAAGAAAAACCATCTCAGCAGTTTGGCAGCTGAGTGGCAGTTCCCACAAGTCAATGGGAAAGCTATTCCAGGTGGATTCAACAGTCAGCAAATATTGGCAGATCCCATCTTCCACAGCTCTGAGCTGCAGAAGGCCCATACCACGTGAGTAACATAAGCCAGTATCAGGAGCAGGGCCATGCACTTGGTCACCAAATATTTACTGCGCATTATGTGCCTAGTGACAAGTCTGGTGCTTAATAAGGGAGGGTAGTCTGTCTGGCACTGGCATTCCTGTGCACAGAAGGCACAAAAAAGTGACCCCAAACTGACTCTGCCCTGAAGGATATCCTGTTTAGTACAGATCAGGAAAGCTGTGAAAATAACAGCTCAGGGTGCCCCAGGGGTATACAGGAGAGGCCACCTAACCAATCCTGGGGAAATCCAAGTAAGCTAGGGAGAAGACAGGGAACACAAGAATATGTGGGAAGACCAGGAAGCAAGGGTATGCTGAGGTCAGGGAAGTGTAAGTAGTTCGGCAGAGCCTGAAAGAATGTGGACGATGATTCTGGCTTAAAGCAGCTTGGCAATTAACAAAGATCATTAGCATGGCAGTGGGAAGAACAGGGAAGAGAGGAGGAAGGGTTGCAGTAATCCCGGAAAGAGCTTGCACGTAATGCAGTGGCAATGGAGAGAAATAAATGGATCTGAGAGGTAGTGGGGAGAAGAAAAATCGGTCTTGATGAAGGACTAAATTTGAAGGGTTAAAGAGAAAGATTTCTGGTCTGGGCAACTACACAGAAGAAGGAGGAATAAATTCGAGGGGAGAGATTAATTCCATTTTAGACATACTGAGTTTCAAGTGCTTAAACAAAGAACAGAAAAAGTTCTACTAGGGCAGCTGATTGTGGGCCTGCAGCGAACAAGAAAGGTCTGGGACACAGAACAGATACAGATTTGGAATTTGTTAGTGTGTAACTGGGATCTGAAGCCAAGAAAATGGATAATTGAAACCAGAAAGAGCATGTCAAGAGAGATGAAGGGCTAAAAAAAAGCAGAAAAGCAAGCAATGGGTAAGGATGATCAGAATCCATGAAATCGATGGCCAGAAAGACAGGTTGGTGAGTTATCTTTGCTATTACTGGTACTTTATTGACCTCTGGCCAACTATATACAAAACATTAATTTTATGCTCTGTAAGTACAATGTCAGATACAGTGATAACACACTAAAAAGTGGCATGAAGGTATGTGGACCTTCCTATAAATAACAATCATAAAATCTAGACAAATTATCTTAAATGATCATTTTAAGATTCTGGGAAGTGTTCAAAAGCAGTCAAAATTTACCCAAAATTTATTCTCATAAAACTGCAAATGGAAGGGGTAAGAAGTTTATAGCTAAAAATGCTCCCCAGCTCCATGGCTATGGCTTGGGAAAGCAGTGGTGGAAAACTGCAATTTTACCACCTTGAGGGAGCAGTAAAGGACTTCAGGGCTGAAAGAAAAGCTGGACACTTAAGGTAGAAATCCTAGAAGCCAGAGAACCACAGAATGGGTGAAAAGCAAAATCAGAGTATAAAAGGTACCCAAATCTCTGACTGACTGCTATACTATTCAGGAGCAGGACTTCAGGGGGACCAACAAAAACATGGAGAACAGAGAGTAATCCACTCTTTTTTTTTTTTTTTTTTTAATTTTTTAAATGTTTATTCATTTTTGAGAAAGAAAGAGAGCACGAATGGAGGAGGGGCAGAGAGAGAGAGAAACACAGAATCTGAAGCAGGCTCCAGGCTCCGCACTGTCAGCACAGAGCCCGACAAGGAGCTTGAACTCATGAACCATGAGATCATGACCTGAGCCAAAGGCGGACACTTCACAGACTGAGCCACCCAGGTGCCCAGAGAGTAATCTATTCTTGAAAATCAGAGCAGCACCTAAGAGTTCTGTGATTTTGCTACATTTTTAGATAAATGCATTCTCCAACAGTATGCAGCTTGGACAGCAGAAAACCTTCCTTACTAGCTTAACTTGTCAAGAGAACAGAGCCTGAGGTTGGCAGATATAAGAAACCAGCTATCAATGAAGTCAGATAAAACAATACTACTCTTCTAATATTTTTGTTTTGGAAAATATAATTATCTTTTTCATTAAAATGTTATTTGTGTTAACCTTAAGGAGGTTTTTTTGTCATTATTAAGTGAATAAATAAATGTTAAGCCAATTCTTAGTTTTCATTTCTCACAGTAATACTGACAGATATAACCAACATAAAGAAAATCTTTTTGGAGTCCTCAGTAATTTGTTAAAGTGTAAAGGAGTCCTGAGGGTCCTGAGGCCAATAATGTTTGAGAAGCCAAAAGAATTTTTAAAGTAATACTAAGATGTTATTTGCCTTTTTCACGGTCACTCTCTCATGAATGTATAGGGGAGTTTTCCAGAGACCATGTCATGTGTGATACAGTACAGAATGAATGCAAAAGACAGATATGAGAATCCACTGTTTCCTATTAAGACTGACCCTAAAGAGATTTAAAAAAAAAAAAGTAAAATAATTCCACTCTTCTCATAACTTTTTTGGTTTTGGAAAACAAAACATGCCCCACCACATTTACTTCTAAAGAAAAGCTGAATGTTACTCTTTCAAGGATACGCTGTCAAAACTGCAGTTTTGCAAAGGAAGAATGCAGGGATGTTGTAGTGTTCAAACATTAACTCTGTCAGTTTCTCTCTCTTTGCTCTAGTATTCCACTTGAGAAGAGGGAAAAAGAAATGTAAGTTATTTACTGTTTAAAAACTAAAATGTTGATTTATCTCAAGATTCAATACAGCACTATATTAAAAAAATATAAACATTAAAAACAGAATACCATAGAAAATAACCATAGAAAATACCATAGAAAATTGTGTATAGTTATATTTATTTGTAAATAAATTTAATAAATATAATTTAAAATTTATTATTTAATAAAAAGTAAAAATGTTGCTAGGAATTTTACAGGTTACAGACTTTCCACAGTACCAAAATCAGGATTCTTATAAAGTATTATTAAATCTTAAGAGTCAATCCAGTCATTTTAAACCACCAAATTCTCCTATTTAAGAGCTGCTACTCATAAAGGAAACTAGAGGTTAAAAACAGTAACAAAATATTGATAATTTATAATCATTATGCTAGCCTTCTGGGCTCTTTGTGGACTCTGTACCAAATGTATTTCACAAGAGACCTCGATCTAGTAATTTCTAGCCCTAGTTCCATATTTGACTCCTCTCCTGGAGAGGAGAATATAAAAGTGGATACACTCTGCCTTTGGGGCACAAGGGACAATTCATACACCCAAATGGGAAGTGGCCCAAGGAATTCAAATGTTAAATAAATCCCTGGAAAAAATAAATAACCGAACCCCATTTAGGGTGCTTTGTTATTGTTCTTTGAATATTTTAATTATTAAAATAATAAAAACTTTATTTTTTTTTTTAAACATTTATTTATTTTTGAGACAGAGAGACAGAGCATGAACGGGGGAGGGTCAGAAAGAGAGAGGGAGACACAGAATCTGAAATAGGCTCCAGGCTCTGAGTTGTCAGCACAGAGCCCAACGCGGGGCTCGAACTCACGGACCGCGAGATCATGACCTGAGCCGAAGTCGGCCACTCAACCGACTGAGCCACCCAGGCGCCCCGTAAAAACTTTAATAGTATATAAAAATTAATCCCCCTTCCCCTAATTTTCAAAATTCAAAACATGAACTTCTATGCCTTTTTAAAGAAAAGGAAAACATTCTTCAAATCAGTTAAAAACAACAACAACAACAACAACAACAACTAGAGAAATTCAGAAAAGAAAGTCTTTGTCTTACCGGTGCTTCTGACATGAGAACAGGATGCAGGCTGGCTTCTGACTTGACATGCATTTTGTAGGTATGATCCAAAATAGCCTGGAAACTATCCCAATCTTCAACTACAATATAAGATTAATACCTTCAAAACAACGCTTAGTTGAAGATGAATACAGAATCTTTTAAGAGACTGTTTCTATGTTTTAGAATACTTTAAAATATAGAACCTATTTATTTTACAGATTTATTTCATAAGATAGCACTTTATATAAACATCATCTTTGTCTTCTATAAAATATGGAACCTCTTTTTTGTTCATCCAACCCCAACAGTATCACAACCCCTAAGACCTGTCCTAAATGTAATCAGTGCATCTAATAGACCTAAAATACCAAATAAATATTATTCACTAAGTACTTACTAGAGGCACAGTATACAATTCGAATGGTAAGAGGAAATACAAAAGAATGGCAGGATCTAAACCTGATATTTAGAAAGTTTACAGTCTACCTGAAAAAAGATTAAAAGATATAAATATAGATACAGATATAGATATAAACCCTCAGAGAATATAACATGCCTTCAATTTGGCTTCCACTTAAACATTCCATTGAAAGTGCTTGCATTTCGCTATGACCTTTTTTTTTAATGTTTTTTTTTTTTAACATTTTTATTTATTTTTGAAAGACAGAGCATGAGTGGGGGAGGGGCAGAGAGAGAGGGCGACACAGAATCCGAAGCAGGCTCCAGGCTCCGAGCTGTCAGCACAAAGCCCGACACGGTGCTCGAACCCACTAACCATGAGATCGTGACCTGAGCTGAAGCCAGACACTCAACTGAATGAGCTGCCAAGGCGCCCCTTGATATGACCTTCTAACAGACAAATCCAGTGGAAACTTCACTTGTAATATAGCTTGACCTCTTTACATTATCTGACACTACTGACTGCTCAAAAGTTTGCAAACCAGTTCTGCCACAATCCAAAGAAGAAATGTCATTACTTGTACAACATACTCCCACAGTCCTATGAGGCTTTGGGGGAGGGGGTGGGGGGGGCGGGTGTCAATGAACTGCGTTAGTCATTCTAACTTTTCTCTTCCCTTCTTAGTGTAACTCTCAATGTCACAGCTGAGAACAATAAGAATCACTGGACTTCTATGCTTCCAAAACTTTTTCTTCTCTTGGCCTTCTGAATATTCTATATCCCTAACTGTTCTTTCTCATTCTCCTTCATGGGCACCCTTTCTTCTCTTTGGTTAAACAGAGAACAGGCTTTCACATGGAAACCCATCCTCAACCTTTTTCTCATATTCCACACTCTTTCTGGCTAAATAATGCAACTCCATGTCTTAAAATCTTCTCACCTGCTGAATAGAACAGCACCTATATTCAAATACTTTGAACTCAAAAACAAACTCATTTACTTGCTGTACAGAAAAAGGCCTGCTTATAAGGCTGACCTTTTGCTGCCATCTGAGAACTTGACTGATAACCAGTTCCCTACAGTGATATAAAACTTTCCCTAAATGATAACAGTAGTTCACTGCACCTAAACTGTTTGTACAATGTGGTTTGTGCTGAACACCTTCTTTCCCTCTGGGAGTCTTGAATTTTAGTAAATTCTAGACACGTGGTACCTACATGACCTCCCCCAGTAAAAATGGTCTCTAATGAGCTCCCCTGGTAGACAACATACACGTTGTCACAACTCATCGCTGGAGGAATTAAGTACATCCCATATGACTCCACTGTGAGAAGACCCTGCGAAGTTTGCCCTAGATTCCTCTGGACTTCACTCCATACCTTTCTTTTCCTTTGTCAATTTTGCTTTGTATCCTCTCAGTGTAATAAACCTTAGCCATGAGTACAACTATATGCTGAGTCCTGTGAGTCCTTCTAATGAATAAATGAACCTAACAGAGACCGCAGATATTACCAATACATTTGCCTTTGAAGACCGTAAAACTTGTTCCTTCCCATTCTATTCCTACTTCAATGTGTGGTACCCTCTATTCAATTACCCCAGTCAAAAATCTAGGAAACTCAATTATTCTCCTTTCACCTCTTTGATATCGCTCAAAGTCATCTCAAGATCTCGGCCATCAGTGATAAAATTTAAACCCTCTTCATTTCTCATCTGAATTCTCACCTCCCTAACTGATCCTCCTATCTCCAGTATCTCTCCCCAATCTAGCCTATGTACTGCTCTTAGAATAATCTCTCCAGCTGGCAAACACCCAACTGTTTAAATTCCTTTAGGGTTGGGATGGCTGGGTGGCTCAGTTGGTTGAGCAGCCAACTCTTGATTTTGGCTCAAGCCATGATCCCAGGATCATGGGATTGAGCCCCACATCGGGCTCCACACTGAGCATGGAGCCTGCTTATGAGTCAGTCAGTCAGTCTCTCTCTCTCTCTCTCTCCACCCCTCTCTCCCTGCATCGCACTCTCTCTCTCAAATTAGAAAAAAAATTTTTTTTTTAATTTTTTAATTAAAAAAAAATTCCTTTGGGGTTATCTTTCAGTTGCCAGCTTAATACACCCCTGGCATGGTTTACAAGCCCTATGATGATTGCTCTCTGTCCACCACTCCTGCAACTGATGCTAATGCACCCCACTGTTAATAGCCATACTTAATTGATGATCTTTCTAATAAACATGTAAGCCGCTTCCACAGCTCCACCTCTTCACACATGCTGGCTGCTCTCCTTTACCAAGCCTTGTTAGTCAGGCTAATCCTTATTTATTCGTCAAGATTCAGTGCAAAAGTTACCTCCTTTATGAAAACCACCACTGATCCCCAATGATGGGAGTTAAATACCTCTCCTCTCCAATCCCACTGCTTATCAAACACAACATTTATCCTACATATTTGGATATCTACATCTACCTCCCTATGAGTTTCTTGAGGAAGAGGAACATGTTTGATGCATCTTTGTATTCTCAGTGCCTGGAACATCAATTTGTGGAATTAAAAACAAAATACCTGACTTATAAGAAGCCATTGTCTTATGTCTAAAATGTACCATATATACTCTATAAATCAAATCCATACAAGCAAACATCATACCCATCCCATTTTTTAGTGGTGAAATGGCCTCCGTATTCTCCCTGGGAACGCGCAGGGCATTAGTATCTATGTAATAGGTGGGGCCGCCTTGTTTGCCTTTATCACCATCTATTTCCATCAGTGTGCTTCCATCATCTCTTTCTACCACCATACCAATAGCTGTGGGGAAATCCACCTGGAAGAGTCAAAAACATAATACAAGTTTTACCTGCTTTATCAAGTAGTCATTTTTTCCCAACTAAAATCTTTTACCATAATTGAGTGAGAATTTCTGCATGAATTTAATTCTACTCAAATAAATGATCCTTTCATATCCAATTAACTAACGCTACACTTACCTTGGGACAGTCCTCACCAGCATAACCAGCTCTCACAGTATAGGATCCAATGTCAAAAACAAGAGCTCCAACCTCATCTGAAAAAACAAAGGACAATTAACATTAACAACTTACAGGTCTCATATGAAAATTAAGAGTACTTAATGTGCTGGGGCACCTGGGTGGCTCAGTCGTTTGAGCGTCCGACTTTGGCTCAGGTCATGATCTCACAGTACATGGGTTTGAGCCCCGTGTCGGGCTCTGTG